ATATTTTTTTATTGTTGTTTGTACCCCTCTTAATGAATATAAGTTAAAATAACTAAAATTTTTCATGAAAATAATTATCGGTCTAAATGGGTTAATGTTAGACTTATCATATTTAAATTGTACCTACCACATTCAATAAATTTTTAATGGTACATACATACATTTACAACAGTACCTACATACTATACATAGTTTACGTAGGTATTGTGTTCAATCACCTCCAGACGATCTATAACGATTACTTGGGTGAAGAATGTAATAGCAAATCGATGCATAACAATAAGACGTAACAGTAAATAATCGATTGAATACATAATACAATTCAGTTTTAAGAATATTTATTTTATATTAGAATAGATCGTGTTCTATTGTGGAGGACAGACGGTTTTAAACTGTCACACACACAAACACCAAGCGGTCACCGGTGACCGCAACCTATTGTTCTATAATTGTGTCTACAAAACCGGTACTCGACGAGTTAACCGTATTTGTACATTTATTTTAATCAATATTCTAAGTTTATTAGGTAATTAAAATGAATTCAAAGTAACATTACTATAAATTCATTTTTCATTGTTTCATTTCATTTCATTTCGACTTTACAGAATTGTAACTGTAATTTTCATGAATAAAATTATTCACCTATGTATTACGTAAATGTACGTATATAGTTTAATAACTACTTACCTATAAACAGTAAATGACGTACAAATTAACAGCACATTCATGAAAGTGATTATCGAAATCCCATTAATGAGGAAAGCATTGTTCATATTATTGTTAATTAATTTATTTAAATTGTTTCTATAATATTATACCTACCCATGCAAAGCGAGCGAGACAACAGTGTGTATTATAATTATTATTTATCATCATATAGAATGACATTTGCCTTCTCAATTACAGGTCATGTATCTGATAACAATCATCGCCTTATCTGTTCAACTTGGGTCAAGGTCAAGAATTCTCGCATGTCGGGTCATCGGCGGTTCGTTTCAATTTGTTGTTTAAGTACCGCCTACATACTGTCGGGTTAACAGCTACCTACGATAAGATCTTCAAGACTTCTTCTTTTAGGAAATCTTTAAAACTAAGGACTAAAATGTCTTCTATTTGCCAAGTTATTTCTTCACTGTTGGTATAGTTAAGTATAACAGAATGAATGAGCTGGCCATGTTTACGAAACCAAAGGCCTATTCATTGCCCACTCAACGCGACTAGTCGGCCTGTTACAGCGTACAAACATAAGTAATAATCTTACATCACTATATTGTGCATTCGAATCGAGAACAAATTGGCCTAAATAAAAGATAAAACGTGGTTTCATTGAGTGGCAATAAAAGCGAAACGATGTAGTTTTAAACTTTTCTCAGGTAAGTATTTATGTCACAACGTGCTAACATTGTGCTCACGGGAATACTACGAGGGGATGGGTCAAAGGGGTGTTAGTATCTCCGAGACATCGGTGCTCCCGGCCGTGTGGCTTACCTTCAAGGCGAACAATATTGATTTTGTATAAAAATATGTTGACTTAACCGAAGTGCATTCAACGCGATCCGTGCGTTTAACTTATTAGTCTTTTATCGCATTTTATTGTCTCGCCCACGTGGACTTTTAACAGGTTCTTTGAAATGCAATCGTTAAGCCATAAACAGCATAAATGCGATAGCGATTTAATGTCCTTCGGTGATGTAGGTAATGCCCCGATTTAGTCTCGTCAGACCAATTTTATAAAAACGGAATATCTGACCTGATTTCGATTACAAATAACACTTTAGGAAGGCTTAAGAGATAACGACGATGAAAACTAATTTCTATACAAATTACGTTGAGAGGTAAATCCCTTTGTCAGCTCTGTGGCAAAACCCTCGCAGATTAGTAATATTAATGTTTATTACTCGGTGGTTTACTAAGTAAGAGTTGGCAGTTATACCGCCGTGATTGCTACGTAAAAGCATTTTGCAGAGTTTAAACGTGACTTGTTCATTTTGTAAACATCCGTTAAATATTTTAATTTGTTAAAAATACTCATAAACATGCCTGAATTTATATTACACTACACTTATTTCGAACACGTAAACTAACGTAAATTAATGCTGTTTGTACTACATTTTATATAAAACAAATTACGTATGTCTCAGAACTGTTCCGAACATTTTTCAATATAAAAACTACGAAGAAAATTAATTCCAAGCGGGCTTCCCTCGGCAAATCCGATGTCTACGATATTTCACGCCCGCTAACTTCTTCATGCCCCATCCAATTTTTCTCAACCGCTTATCAGGTAAATGGACCTTACAACTTTTCAAATTATTTTGAAGATTCATTTCTTATCAGTTAAATACCTATTTTATATTTAACAAGAATCAGTTTGTAGTCGAAATTTAAGGTTTGTAGTTGGTTTTGTATCAGTTTTATTATTTATTTTATTTATACTGTTTTAGTAAAAATAAATTGTATTATGACAAACTCCTGTTTCAAATAGTACCTTTTACGAATAATTACTAATAATAATAAAGAATGTTAATGGAATAAGAAATCATTACATTTCTCCAGGCATATGGATCTTGGGAATTCGTAAAATAAATCGATATTTTTTGTACTAAAATCCGTGACAACTTGACGCGCCTATGGCCGTGGGAAAATAGTAAGTTAACGCCAAGGTAATTGTTGATATTCAAGAGATCGTCGCCTCTACAGGCGTCTGACGACATCGTCACGCTCGACTGTTTTTATTCGATTAACTGTACTTATAAATAATTAAATAATCTACAACTAAGATTTCAAGTACCTGTAAATATACTATCAATGAACAGAATCTACTTTACCCGCGGTGTTTTTAAATTCATTCATTATCTACCTAATTGCTCATTCAAAGCATTTCTAGGTAAAACTAGATATCTATATCATTTACACGATTGCTGCAATAGTTAAATGAAATCAACAATCAACAGATGTTACGTTGATAAAGGTAACACAACTAAGTATTTGAATTTCGTAATTACGTTTTTGATGAATCTATATTGATTCAAGGTAGATAAAAAGCATTTCTGACTAATTAAATTGCCGAGATTTTACGTAATTAAAGAGCACGGATCATAAAGTAAACAAAACATTAACAGTAACGAACCACAAGAAAAAACCTTTATACCTAACATGGTTTACATTGAAATGCTACGCAACCGCGTCTAAAATTAACAAAACATGTAAGGCGATAATGTTTCATTTCAACAATAACCTTTGTTTTTTCGAGTTTGAGCTCGTTCTGAATAACTTTACTACATGAAATAACAGATTTACAGTTAATGCAACATTGGTTCGTCTGTGGTTTCGGTTCTTATTACTATTTACGTACAGCACTTTATTATGTACCATGTAAAGCTTTCTAATTGGAATTATTCAAACGTTATCGTGTTGCTGTTGCTTCAAGTCGTAAGTAAATAATTTATATTAACGATATAACACTGCATAAACATACCTTACTGCTATATAGCTACTTATAAACTCGCATAAACAAATCATTGTAAGAAAGTCTACTTTATCAAGTTTATTTACCAATGTTCATAGTGTACTTATTTATGTGGTAGAACTACCTACCTTTTAGTATAAACTAGTTACAGGTTGTATTTTATAGCATAGCTGTTACTAACACATAAGATAGGTACCTACCTACCTAAATGTCATGGAAAATCACATCTTAACATAATTTTGTAACTAAGTAATCGTGAATGATACTCGATTTAATTGACAATAACTTACTTTTATGAGTCTTTTGATAGTTAGCTTACGAATTTACTGGCTGGGTAGGTAGGTTATACTATAGGTATAATATTATTGTAGGTTTCGAGTAAACGTAGATGTTTATTACATACTTACTTACGTATTTTGAATTACATGTTATCAATATCTGTAGGTACATCAGCCGTTACTTAGATTTTATGTAATTATTTACATTTGGATGAAGCAAATTCTGTTGATAAATAGTAGTTACGTGTCATCGGTAGGTACTGTACCTACCAACTTATGATAAGTAGATAATTTAGTTTGTTTTACAGAAGAAAATTAACTTACAGACCATTGTAAGTAGGAATTGCATAAGCATTGCAAACCACATGTGGTGAATTAAATAGGAGCAAAGGAACCTGTTCGGGCCTATAATATACGCGCGCGCCGCTCCAACGAGCCACAAACGGCAAGCCTGTCGCCATAATTTAAAACGATAGCGGGGAATGTAGTTTTATTGTGCACATACGAGACTTCAACGTACACAACATATTGCCATTCGAGGACGGCGCGATAAATGAGCACAAACGAGCGAAAGCCACTTAGACCAAATTTACACTTTGTGGGAGACCGCGGCTGCAACTCGCTTGCCGAGAACGGCTCAGCGATCCGACGACAGGCGCGCCCGTACACAGTCAGCTGCTCACTACATAATACATAACCGCTAAATACTTGTACAGATAATATAGCACTCCATCAATACAGGTTTTATTTTTATCTAACTATACAAAGACCTACTTTCATTTACGTAAATAACAACTAAATTTCACTATCTACTTTTTACACGCAGGGTTCATTCGTTGGGTCAATGCACTTCCGAGGCGACGTCCAAAGCGATTACAGAGCGCCGTTTTTTATAATGGGATTCAAGAGTCTGCACATCCTAGTAGACTAATTTTGTTCCACTTGTCTAATATTTCTTTCAGCTAAATCTACTAATTTTGGTGGTAGCAACAGCATATGACGACAATAGATGTCGTCATCACGGTGCCAGATAATTATCCAATTTTTGACATAGACATAGAGGCGATAATTGCAAGGCTATAGGTTATTATGCAAATGTAAACAACCTTTAGTGGCTCTTTTGCAATATAGAATTGGTATATAAAGGCAATATACAAGGTAATTTCTTAAAAAATACATATATATTGCTTGCCACTTTGTTATCAACGATATAGGGTATGAAATAAAAACATTTCTGATGATTCAGTACTTACCTCGAGATCTTCATATGTGCGAAATGCCATTATGGCGAAACCATCGATGATATCCTCTTCTCCCAGCGGCTCCCGCGACTTTTTCCTCCTGGCAGGAGGACGAGGCGGCTTCTCTCTCGTCGGAGACTCGTCCTCGCCGCTGTCTCCATCCTTAACTTTGCTCTCTCGCTGTGCTTGCATGCGCTGTGCCCGCTCCCTTCGCCTGTTTCTCTGATTGCGCTGCTTCACTTCGTTTTCCATCGTTCACACATTATTCGAAACACCCGACCACCGTGCTTCACTACACTAAAGTCCGCACTACACTTTTATCACACATGGTTATCCGTGGTTTCTACGCCGCTTTATTCAACGAAATATAAATCTTGCACTCAGAAAAAGACACTGGCCGTTTCCAATGGCGGATCGTACACCGTTGCCGCATTGCAAGTAAAATGGCCGCGTAGCACTCCACGGGCTGCTTTCTTTCACATTCACGTAAACGGAGGCATTATTCCACTTAAACTAAAACATACTACTATATATTTTAACAAGAACTAAGACAATAATACGATAAATTAACTTTATACATTATTCTCTGTGTTCAGAATCAGTCAATAGTCAATACAATGAAAGGTGTTACACGACGCCAACGCTGCGTTGCGGTCGCGATGGTGAACTAAAAGCAGTGCTGCCAACCTAATGCACAGACATTCCGCGATACTGGGCGTCATTGGCAATGTGGCGCTAGGACGTACTCTTCTAACTGGTAAGGTTGTCTCTTTTTTTGATTGTAATAATAAATTCAAATTAGAGAGTTTTTATTTAACGCTGTTATTGTATAACAATTTACATTGTAATTATGTGGTTTTGTATTAATTAGTTAAACTATTATCTAGCTGTTGTTTTAGATACTAGTTGCTACAATCCGTAATATTGAGGATACAATATCATAGTTTGATTTGTAATGTTGGTATTTGGTGAACGAAATGAGACATTTGTTTGGGACAGAAGTATTCCAACTATTATTAATCTGTGGGCACGGTGTTTATATTTTCTCTGGTACACTTTGGACTAATAAATACACAGTGTCGATGATGCAAACCAAGTCGAATGTTTGAAAAGAAGTAATAAAATGAAGTTTGTGCATGTGCTGATTACACTGGTTGATTTTGACGTTTCGTTGATAGGTCACGTTCAGAATTTAAGAAATTTATTTTATTTATCGTTTTGGGTAACGTCTTTGATACAAAAACATTTAAGTTAAATAATTATGCAGTTATTAACTTTAAAAGTTGGGAATGACGAATACAGCTTACGTTTTAATTGATGTACCGTTGAATTGAGGTACAGTACACTGCTGTTAAAATAAAAATGTTCACAACATTAATTAATTTTTCACAATAATTGCATTTTAACAAAAAATGTTTTAGACAATGTTTGTTACAGGTTACTTATTATGTAAGTACCTAGATAATGTTTGTAAACATCTTTTATCAGCAATATGGGACCACCAATACATTTGGACAGTACTTAATCAGAATGTAACTATACGACAATTGTGCAAAGGCCGCTTCTCACGGAGATGGAATAAGTATTAATCAGTACGCTAATTTCTCATGGTGGATTGGCGTATTTTGACTACGATTAAGATCGATTTTTGACATTCATTGTATGGCGTTTCCGTCAATGGATCGATGCATTGGCATGCGATTTTGGAAATAGATCGTTTATTAATTTTGGCCGTAAAGTGTCAGTCGCAAGCGCAATTCCATGGTTATGACTTTCATGCATTTGAGAAGTCGATTATAAGCCTGGTTCTGGTACTTTTACGCCCAGTAAGATTGGTCCATTACATGGAGCCTTTATGAATAGTAGGGCTACGTATACTCGGAGTCTCTCTAAATTATTTCATCCGAAACGAGGTGATCACAGAGAGATCAAAATTCTCTGCCAGTCATCATTTAGCATTAAGTCTACCTTATGCAATTGTATAAAATTTAAATAGAAAAAACAAAACAAAAGCCGTCGGAATAGCCCAAAGGATTACCAGGTTCAAGTGGCAGTGGGCTGGTCACATTTGTCTGAGAATCAATTACTGGATGGAGTAGACGTATTTTGACGTGTAAAAGTGCTGCCTTGTAGCCTATTTGCAGAAATGAATTCACTTGTTTCTCTAGTTTCACTATTGGAGTAGACTGTTGCTATAATAAGATCCATATTATAAGACGCCCTCCGCTACTTTAGATGAGAAGACGAACATTAAATTCTATTGCAAAAGCCTTGATCCACTGTCCATCAGTTAACGAAAACGAGGTGAATAGGATTATTATGTATCTTATAAAGAGGTTTGATGGAAATGCGACTTATAACTATTTAAAAGTAACATTTGATACAGACCTTCGGCTACTGTTAAAAAGCACGTTAGCCAGAAGAAAGTAACAATACTTATTTTATTGTTATTCATAGAAGAAGCACCTAATAATGGTATTGTTAAACATTATTGCGCCAAACTATTCACTAATTTCTTAACAAAAAAAGTACTTTGTTTCCTTTTTTTTTCAAACTTTTTAATGAATCAGTACCGACCCAGCACCGGGTTTTTTTAGAGGTCTAATTACCGTTAGTTTGAACGCTGATAAGAGGAAGGGCTGTGCTTTAAGAAAATAGCCGTGAACAGTGACTTTGCCTGGTGTCGTTGCATGCATAGATTACTTTAACTTCTAAATCCACGATTAAGAAAAATTCACAAAAAACTTGAACATGTGTTCATACAAAAATAGTCTCTAATAATCGGAAATAAGGATTATAATGGAGTAAACGGAGAGCGGTCACCGGTGACCGCTTAGGGACTCGGCATTGATTTACAGATTTGTTTATCTGTTATCAGTGCCTAGTGGCACGCTGACAGTGGTTAGTTAATTACGATGAAGAAGTATGAGGAATTGGTAAAAAAAGAAATAGAATTCCTACGTTTGATATATTCAGACCATGACTTTTCTTCTCCAACGCTCCTGTGTTCGATCGAACGAAAAGATAGGTGTTACAGGTTTACTAGCTTAGGTTGGCTTAGGTTGCTTTCGCCAGCGGTAATTCCCTTTTCTTGCCTGTAGGGAGGATCCCATTACTGTTAAAGATTTCGTCTTATTTTTGAAAAACCAAAAAAAAAAATTATTCGTTCGGATTTCAAAACTGCGGCAACTCTACTATCGACTAACGAGGCAGTCAATAAGTACTTGATGTTCTTTATTTAAATTTAGTTTCGCTTAAGTCTCATGTGCTTGATTGATATGAACCTATCCACAACAGTCTTTGGCGCCATTTTATTATACTCTTTACTCTTATGAGCATGATGCGTAACGTGCAAGCTTCATAAATTAGGTATATGATTTATAATCATAATAATCATTAATAAAGTTCAACACTATGTAATCGATCCTGTAATTTGCTATACCTCGTAATCGCTGTCTACCTTCGTTTACCTTCATGTATCATGATTCCTGTGTTAGATAGCAGTGTACATAAAAAACAATATAAATTACTGAAACTGAAAAGAAAAGGATTTTTCGTGTGGTAAATTATTTCCCTCTGCCCGATTACGTCAGTACATTTTAATAGACTAGAACATGGTGGGAAAATAATTCCTTGTGCCCGATTAAGGGATAATCTCCTTTGTTATTTACCAGCTTACAATAATCAAGTTATAATAATTAGATACAAATCTAAATGCATCGAAGTGAGTACAACTTAAATTATGTATTTTACAAACATTTTCTATTATAAAAAACTATGCGTACTTATTTTCGTCGCCAGATTATTTCTTCACTTTTATAATAAGTCTAACGACAGGTCGATTAAAACTTTTAAAATACTCATAAATTTAAATACTAAGTATACAATTAAATAATATTTGATTTATCTTTACATTATGTCTAAATTAATCTTCATTAGAATATATTATTACTTCAACATTCATATGGATAACCAGTTTGTCTTGCTTAGTTGAAACAGTTCAAAGTACGTGACCGTTGTACCTGCGTGTGAATAAACTTATATATCTTTATGTATAAAATATGGACTTAATCATAAGAAAACGATGTTATAGATCCAGTTGAGCTTGGGATGTTATGAACGGAGCACGAGCTTCGCCGGAGACTTATCAATTAATACACGATATTCATTGCTGTCGATATGATAAAATGTAATGAAATATATACTGTTGTATTACGAACATAATTATCTTCTCGCCGCGTGACTTGGACATTGATTTTGTGTGTTATCGTACTGTGTAATTAAAGGTATGTTATTGATTATTGATTAAATTCATATGTGTTGTGTTAGTAACAATAATTGTGCATCTTTTACCAGCCACCCATCAGTTTGCGGTACCTATACATGTGTAATAAAACGATGTTTATAATTACCTACATAATAATATGGCATAAAAAGAATATCGTGTAATTAAAAACGAGTTTTTAGTTGCCACCTGTGCCAAATGTTGTATGCAAAATTCGTTATTTTAAGAATATTTTGTGGTGGGCAGTTTTTCGAGTGTGTTAACAAGATTAGTGTTTAATGCTCTAGTGGTTTTATGCTAATAAAACGTTAGACCTCCGACGGGGCATGCATTGTTTATTTTCTTTTTAATTTTAGTAGGTACTGTATGGTTATAATGCCGTGTGTACACGAAGGGGTGGCGAAGCGGACTTAGGACTAAACGGCGCTTTTTTATTTTGCTGTGTAGAGCATTCGGCCTCCCCTTTAAAAATAAAATTGATTTACATCGCTAAAGAACGTGTGAATGTATGCGGATAAAACTTATAACGAATCGTATTTTGATTTTATAAGTATTGTGGTACTTTATTTGCTTCGAAACGAATGCCAATATGAAGCACAAAATTAAAAAATAACAAACTATTAATAAATAATTATGACTCAATGCAAATGTTAAAATTAATAAAATATATCGGAATTCATGAGAATATTAAAATTGACGCATCATGAATATGAATGAAGTTAAAATAAAATAGGAGAAATTTATCGATAACGCATAAATTACTTTGGCATTGTGTATTGGTAGTTAAATATACAATGAATGATTCAAGAATTAATGTAAAATCATCAATATTGTTTGTTTCGTGTTTATTTTAACAAGTTTTTTAGATGGATTTAGTGTAGTTTGTGGGAAATGTTTACATGAGAAGTCTAAAAGTCCATTTTACTTTCGAAGCGTTAATAGGTAAGTCAGTCTGTATTTTCTCGTGTGTGAGCAACAAAATTTGTTCGAAACTATTTATCCAAACGTTAAATTTCATTTTGTTTTATAATTGCTTGGCAAATATCTAACCTTCACTTCGCGGCTGACCTTTATTCGTGTATGTAATTTGAATGGATGTGTTGTCTTGAAAGGTACATTACTAATCAAAGTTGTTAGACACACGTAGTTCTAATTTGAATTGCAAAATGCATTTTATTGTTATTTATATGTAGGTTCTATGTTATCTGGTATTTCTGTGGTACAAATAGTAGATCCAGTAGAGATATGTATTCGTTTAATTACACAGTTTGCTTTAAACCGTCAAACACCAAGCGGTCACCGGTGACCGCAAACTATTGTTCTATAATTGTGTCTACAAAACCGGTACTCGACGAGTTAAATACTAAATCTTATCTTAAATCTTATACTATTATATTAAGCGGAAGAGTTTGTTTTTTTTGTTTGTTTGTTTGAACGCGCTAATCTCCGTAATTACAAGTCTGATTTGAATAATTCTTTTTGTGTTGGATAGTGCATTTATCGAGGATGGCTATAAGCTATAAAACATTATGGTACGACCAATAGGAGCTGAGCAGAGCGTGTGAAACCGCGCGGAAGTAGCTAGTGGGGTCATATTTAGAATTCAAAGTCGTTGAAGGAGGTATCATTGAGTACATACGTACTCGATGATATGGGAGTGCAATATGCTAATGTTCTTATTTGATATGCGTGAGAAATTATAATTAATTAAAACAAATGAAGCGATACTTACAATGTCAAATGTATCGATTTTAAATATCAGATAAAATGTATAATTTTACCTAACGAATTTATAATTATGTGCATTCGGATTCAGATATCGAGTATCGACCACTCATGACCTCTTATAAAGCGAGTTAAGGTCAACTAAAAATCGCGGGTTACTCATGTGAATATACTGAGAAAAGTTCTACTAGTTTCGAACCACAGAGGGGAACTTCCTCATCACGTGAATAACCCGCGATTTTTAGTTAATTAGGTATGTCTCACGATAGTTATTATAAAAACAGAGTTATGGTCATCGTATACGTAACAAGCACGGATCTGGCACGGATCAAGCACGGCTGCGGCATTGCCCCGACATGGCGTTTTTTTGCTTTGGAAACAATAAGAAAAGGTTATCGGTACCTGCCTCGTTGGCCGAGTGGACGGGCAAAATATTACTATGTTTTTAAAATAAATCTCAGTAATAGCACAGAGCCTGGAAATGTGCCCGGTACCTATATGGCAATAGGCTCACCCCCTATTACATGGGACTCACAACAGTCACAACATAAATAGTGAAAACTGGGTGTTATATTGTACAGTGGCATTAAGTGCCTTAACTCGTCGAGTACCGTCAATATAGACACAATTATAGAACAATAGGTTGCGGTCACCGGTGACCGCTTGGTGTTTGACAGTTTAATGTGCACCTCTGACTACTCCTTCGGGTATATAGGAGTGATGTTATGTTAATTATTTGGTTGGAGCTGTGCTTGCTGCTGCTCAGTTCCTTATATTGATCGAAGGGTTTTCGTAGAACATTTATAAAAAAATATATTTTGTAGTTCAACAATGAAGCCGAAATCCTTGGATCGTGCCATCGCGCTGACCAGCATCGTTGGGATCCTGCTCTCGACTTACGCCTTGTACGTGGAGATGGCAATAGAGACACATCCTGGATACAAAGCAGCGTGTGACATCGCGGAGTTCGCGAGCTGCTCACGAGTTCTTTCGTCTGAGTAAGTTCAAATTGTACATAGCTTTTTTTGTAGGATAAGCTAGTAAACGAGCAGACGGATCACCTGATGGTAAGCAATTGGCGTGGCTCACTCGAAACGTCAACTTGCTTCATGTCGGTTGTCTGTGAGGCCGTGGTATAACTCCGGTCGAGCCGGCCAGTTCGTGCCAAAGCATGGCTCTCTCAAACCTATTTTATGGGATGCGTTTTTTGGGGGACCAACAAGCTGATTAATATCCTGATGGTAAGCACCACATATACGGACCACTTGGCCAATGAGGCTGAGGCAGCCGTACATATTTATCCTAAATCGTTGTGTTCAACAAAATATACTAGATTTAAGAGTTGACCGACTTAAACGTACAGGAAAACTATTTCGATTTCGGAAACAGTTATTGTACCGGTTGTCAGATATGGATCATTTGCGGAAATATTTTGGGTTAAGGAAAACATGTTTAGTTGTTCTATTACCGTTTAGATGGTGTTCTTTGTTATTGGGTTAAACATTATATTTGATCCTTTTATTTATGTTATAAATTTCGTGGGACATACTAAATTAATGATTACGTTTTTCGGCTTACTACTCACGAATATGAGCCTCTAGCTTGGCTTGAAACTAGTCGGACCTGAAGTTAAGCAATCGGCGTCGCCCATGGAAACCTGGAACACCAGAGGCGTTATGCACTTGCATTACCGGCCTTTTGGGGATCAGGAAGTTGAGGATTATTGGGGATTCAGGGATTGGAGAGATTGGTGACCTCACTCACACGACACAAGCGTTGTTTCACTTCGATCTGCTGTGAGGCCGTGCTATTAGTCCGGATTTTTTTTAGGGAAGGCGATATCAAATGAACTTTATTTTCGTTGATAAATCATCTAGTCTTGAAATATTAACAGTTGATTTTCCTTGCAGCTTTTCCAAAGGGTTTGGTTTATTAGCTGAAGAGTCCACGCTGAAGATTCCGAACTGCATTTATGGAACGATCTTCTACTGCCTCATAATATTTTTATGTACGTATAAAAACTTATTATTACGTTTATTGAGCTATCTGACCCGATTTTTGTTTCGCAGAATTTCACAATAAAAAATGTAGTAAACTTAACGACGTTAACCCACTCTTTTTAAACATCTGCGTGAAATATCTACAGCACATTAATGCAGTCGTATTACTTTGGATCTAACCGAAACCAATAAACGCTATTAAGTTTTACGATGTTCAGATGGAGTCGCCATTAAAGCTGTCATTTATACAGAAAAGGAGAAATCCTTCAATTAATTAAATAAAGACGTCAACTGTATAAGGCTGATTATATATCTCAATGCAGACTTGAATCGCGAGTCGACTGTTAATTATAATACTTATATAAAAACTGTTTCCACAGTTGGAACTATTGAATTAACGAGTGGTAACTAGTAGTTACTAGTAATTATAATCGCGATGCCAATAATAATCGACATGGTATTACGATGTACCGTCGCTCGGCGTCGATCGGTGGCGTGCAATTCGCACATCAATGCGGCCCGTGGTTGCCGTGCCGACTTCGTGACTTTACCACGAGAAAAATATTGCGAAACTCCCGTTTGTACTCACTTTAAGCTTATTTGGTGGCTCACGAGCCGTGAATAACTGTTATCGTAATAGGCTAACATTGGTACACACTCCTGGGAAGTGCGAAATGTTACGTGCCAATATGATTTACACGTTTAGGGAAAACGTACTCGCAACAATTTGAGCTAGTTCATTTTATCATTGTTATTAGCGTTGCGATAACCACACGTTACACGTAACTTAATTAAATTGTGTGTTTAAACGGTGTATTACAATTATAACTGAATTTGTTAATATCGTGCACGTAGTGGAACGAATGGGAAAGTCGAATATGAATTATTTAATATTCCCAATAGCATTAAAGTCTATAACAATAAAATGTTTCTCTATTTGAATATTTAGAGGGTTTGCGTGAGCTTTTATTGCTTTGCTAAAATGTTAATTCCATGAAACACGCTCGTAAATGCTCGGAATTGTAGTGGGCATTGTGTTATTTCAGTCTGATATTGAAATAAGCCACGGCCGCTTTGTTAGATCTCTTTTGTTGTGTTGAGTGGTCATAATCTGTCATTGTAATTGCTCTATGCTTGATTTGATTTTATGATCCATTAAATAATGTTAGAACTCAGAAACCTGTAATTACGATTTTCTAAGTTTAGGAACTGTGTTTACTGCTATAATAACCATTTGATTTGCAAGTGTTTGGCGTAGACTCAGGTTAAAGGTACCCCACAGTATACTGCTTGCTATAGCGGTAGAGATCATAAAACTCTTAAAAGATAATTAGTAGTTACATAAGTCATAAACTTATGGTATTAGCTGGAAATAAATTTACTGTTTTTGTAGATGTGACCATTATTATTGTTATATATTCTCTTTTTAACTCGTCGAGTACCGTCATTATAGACACAATTATAGAACAATAGGTTGCGGTCACCGGTGACCGCTTGGTGTTTGACAGTTTAAGAGTAGGTAATATCATGCAAGATTTTTACACTATAAGTATAATAAGTAGCTCTAAACGGTTTTTACAGCGAATTTGAAAAAAGAAAACTGTTTGTTTGCTCCGATTTAGAAATTCAAATCCCGATTCGTGTTCTAAAGTTCTTGATTTAAATGTCTGGGTTGGCCAAATTACATCAAGTTCTCCTGTGTTGAAATGTTTCTTTGTTTGCAATTTGCCCCCGTTATTTGCGTAGACAAGTTATACCTAAGCTATAATTGGGTAATTTCCTGGGTTAATAATAAATTATTTTCATTTTTCAGTCCAATTAAATATGGAAAATTAGTTACACTTTCATTCATTGATTTGTCGATAGACTTAATTTTCGATTTATCCTAGCATTTTTTTTAGATATAAGTGTGCTATTTGACGCGAAAATATGATAACGGTATTTCGTACAAAATTCATTGAACGGTATCGTTTTTGACGTTTCGAATTCGAATTTGACTAGTTGTCAACAACACGTACACCTAACTATGGCGAGAACTAGTTCACTATGTACAAAGATATGATCTATAATATCGTTTATTTCAGCAACATTCGACCAGGTGCTAGTCGCCCGCATGCTGTTCTTCGTGGCAGTTTCTTCGCTCCCTATGTGCGTGTACTTGGCGTACCTCCTAGCCTTTGTTCTCCATGATCTATGCATCGTCTGCGTGTCCACCTACGTCATTAACGTCGCACTAACCATCCTGACCTACAAGAAAATGAAAGCATTAGCTACAAAGAAGAAATAAATGAAACAATCGATGTTTTAACCGCTTTCGTGATACGTAAACAATGAATAAAAGTATAAAATACCTCGAAACATTCCTCTTACTTTGTACCTAAATATATGAATTTTATTTCTATGTTCGCGAACTGATTCGAACTTTCCACATTCAAATACACATACGTCAGTTAGAAAAGTAAAACACAACTTTGTAACAAAATGCACTCAACCGCGCGTTGAATATCCGATGTGCGGACTAAAGTGTTAATTTTACAACTTTAGTTTGTGATTTCACCCAGCCACGTCACGTTGCTACGAGCACAGGAAAATATTAAGTTTTGATGATTTTAACGCGTGTTTCCCAAACTTATTTCTGAAAGCTTTATGTAATGTAATAAACGTTGGGACGTGAACTTTGTTTTTTTTTTATTTTAGTGTCTACCTACTCACGCTCTGATAGAGAAGTTTTAGAAGGCGTAAGTATCGGAGCAGATTAAAAACATAAAGTACCTACTTAGTAGTTACAACTTCGAGCGTCATCATCAATAATAATTTAGGACTAATTTTGACTCACTTTTCAAATTTTGTCTTTAACTAAAAAGCATGAATTAGAATTTCTATCTCAGTAACCCAAAGAAGCCACGAGCAAAAGTTAATACACCTCTATTTCAACATTCTCCTTAAACTAAGTTTTTACCATAGAAGCTGTTTTTTTAAACACAAAAAGGCAAATGTTTAGTGTTCAAGTCTTATAAAGCACTCCGTGGTTGCTTCCCCTGTCGACTTGGCATTTATTTTCACAGCATTTTGTGCTCGTTCGTGGCTCGCATAACTTTAACCTGCGGCCAAATCTGCGGTCACATACAACCGGGCGTTTCGAGCCCGTAGCGTCGGTGTCACTTTAGGATAAAAGTGGCTGGAACTGAAACTGATTTTCAAGTTAACTTGCGAAGCAGCTTGCTGCTATTTATCCTGTTAAATGGTTATTATTATTAGACGGTGTTTTAGGTGAGTTTGTGGCGGCGGTGGGAATTTGAAAACATATTTCATGGTTTACGCTTTTTTATATGGATATCTTTCTTTTTTAAATGAAGTGTTGGTATTTAATAGATACATTTTGTACCTAACTCATTCTGTATCTTGTATAAATTGGAAGGGAAGGGAACAGGGAAGTGTAAACTATCGTTTTTTTCTCCTCTTTTAACATCTTCTGATTTCCTTCTTTGCGGGATCTAAGGTTCAGTGTTCCGGTGTTTTCATGGTTGTATCTACTATAGATCTTGGCTTACTGGAGCTGCAGCGGATTAGGGAGACTGGCGGGCTTGTCCTGCCAACAAAAAAAAATTACACTGAAAATTTGGTGAAGTTATCAATGTCCCCAATATGGGTAAATTGTTCATAGCATGCATAATGCATATCATAAAGTCGTGGTGCCCCGGAGGTTTACGACGCTCGCTTCTCATACGTACATGAGATTGCGGGTTCGAAAGCTACCAACAGCAAGTACAAATGTGACTGTTTCCACGTTATATGTACTTTCTAAGATTGTTTTGGATACCACTGACAAATGGTGAAGGAAAACATCGTGAGGAAACCTGGGCTTATAGTAATTCCTAATTATAGATAAGTTTAAAATCGCCAACCTGCATTGACCAAACGTGGTAATAGATAAGCTCAAACGTTTTCCGTGTGAGAAGAGGCGTTTGGTCAGCAGTGTCCACTTATGGGATGGTTCAAAGCATACAGAAACCCTAATATTAGTTTACAGTGAATAAACTCAGGTGTTCGTGCTGAGGAATCGTGTTTGCGTACTAGATATACCTTCTAACGAGAATAAACTAGTGCATGTAACCTGACTACTTCGATTTTACTTTCACTACTACGTGTTTCCATTTACATATTATCTATTTACGTATATAGAGGTAAGTAAATAGACGTATGTTGCTTAGGAGTTAGGACTCAATAATAAATTGCTTAAGCCTAGCTTAGAATATTAACATAACATCACGCCTTTAATTCCCGAAGGCGTAGGCAGAGGTGCACATCATGGCACTTAATGCCAAATCAAAAATCAAAATGTGTTTTATTTTTTGTTACTTTACTTATAATACAATTGCACGTTCGTGATAAAAATATTCAATTTTTTATTTCATACAACTCTTGACTCTAAAAATCTACGTAATTCGATGCTTTAAACTCCAAACCGGTTTTACAATAGGCCAAAATAATATAATTTTTAGGTTCACTAGTGCCATCTATTACACAATAGGAGAAACTTTGTGCAATGTTTACTACAGCGCCATCTGTTGTTGGGAGGAAGTAACTATCCATTGAAGTAGATGGCGCTGTCCTCAAGTTTGTTTAAGTGAAATTATTTTGTTGAAAATCAAAATAAAATATTCTCAAGTTCTACAAAAAGAAAAATAAAATTACATATTATATAAACCAAATATTTTCCTCTATTGTATTACTTTTTAGGCTCTTCTGACTAACATGGGGTAAAAATAAAATAAAATAATTTAGCGATGCGTTGTTTACAGTCTTAGGTATTTAAAAGATTTATCGATACTTCTCAATAACCATGTTTAAACCTATGTTTCCCATGTTTAAGAAAACTTAGCTCATTCTATGTTTGTAACAACCTAAATGTTTTGAAACTATTTATAAATAAGAGAAAAAACCAAAGCAAAATTTAGAGTCACTCGATTTAATACACACTACCTGGTCCAACAATAACGTTTAGTTAACGAAACATAATTAGTTAGATGTCTAGTCTTAAAAGGAGACTATCATCCTTATAGTGGCTGAACATTTCCTAGTCAGGTTTTAGTGCGTAGTTGCGTACCTAGTAGTGCTTAACGCTGGTGACGTAATGACGATGGCGATCACAATAAAGTCTTTTTAGTGTCCTCCCAACTTCTATTGGCTCCTTGATAGTGGTTTTGTTGAGTATCCAGGACGATCGTCGTAAAGTTAGAGATAGTTACGAGTACTTGTTCTAGGTAATAGACTAATTCAGTTGGTAGGTAAAGGATTGGATTAGTCTTCTGGATCGGTGGCGTAGATAGTATATAGGTAAGTGACATGGGAAACTTGGAAATGTTTGATTCCGTTTATTTCATCGACTTCTGTTTCGTTTATAGATGACTAACTTGTCTAGTTTTTATGGCATAATCCGGTAAACGCGCAGACGGATCAACTGATAGTAAGCAGTCGGCGCCACCCATGGACACCTAAAACACCAAGGCGTTACAAGTGCGTTAATAGCCTTTTGGGAATTGGGAATTTGAGGATTGTGAAGGATTCGGGGAGACTAGGGAGACGGGTAATTAGGCCTCCGGTAACCCCACTCACAGGACGAAACACAACGCAAGCGTTGTTTCACGTCGGTTTTCTGTGACGCCGTGGTACCACTCCGGTCGAGCCGGCCCGAAGCGTGGCTCTTCCACTTTTAACAAATAAAAATGCTTAAAGATAAAAGAAACACTAACACCATAATTTACTAAGTCACAACTTATTTAAAACCCCAACCACTCACTTAACAAATTGACATTCTTCTTCATTTTGCAAACGTTATCAACGTGACAAGACGTATGGTCCATCACTCAGGCAGTGGTAACGACCTTCCGAGAGGACGTACGCTTTGTTTGCAGACGATCAGATACAGCTGTCGCCTGTATGATGGCTGATGGCCCAACGGACCGATTAAAAGCAACTGATTACACGAACATGAGTAATCTGACATTGTTCAACAACTCTGCGAAGCTTTTGAACATTTTCCGACAACACAATTTACTTACGTTTTTTTCTTACGCACGTTTCAACCTCGAGCATTATTTATATTATGTATATATACGTACTTTCTAAATTTAGCAAAATGTATTATTATGAAGATCACTTAAAGATGTGTAGTAAAATGTAATGTTATTGTGTTAATTTTTTTCTTTGAGAAGAACAAAAGGTTTGTTAGCAGCTGTTTGTTAATTTCTACTGTTTTTTTATATTTGATTGGCCGACGTATGACCACTATCTCGCTTGTTGGTAAGCTATGATAGCGGTCTACGATAGAGCACGTCGTCCCATAAGCAACCTATTAACCTATTCACTCGGGCTTTTATGAGAGTTCAATGTAAGTATTATAAGTACTTAGTTAAGTATTTCATTTGCTTTACGATTAGATAGAGATGGAAGAAGATTTACTGTTTAGTGTTGAAAAAATGTTTGATGTTTCCAGCTTTTTTTTTTTTTTTAAGGGGGGAAAATCATCGAATGACTGCTCCCGCCTGGGTGAGGCGGAAGGGAGTGTCAGACTCTGACTGACTAAAAACCACCTTGTTCCTTCTCCTGCACGTCGAGCCGGAGCCCCGGTTACCCGTTAGGTTCTCCGCGACATGTTTCCAGCTTAGATGGACAACGCAGTTGTTTTTTTTTTTAATCGGGACTCAATAAAAATATTGCAAAATGTGGTGTACAAAAGATGCCCAATTTCACATAGACTGCGTTTAAAGTTAGACCAAATGAGTAATAGACCACAAATAGATAATAAACCACTAATTGTAAAGAAACTAACAACAATAAGTAGCTTAGTCATTAACAATAGCACCTTTAACCATCAAAAAGTGTCTTTGTTGTACTTCTACATCCATTGTTATTCCTGTCGTAACTTTGGGCCATAAACTTGGCAATGTGGTAGTGACGAGTAGAACAATAATACGCTCATAATTGTGGAGATAGCGCCGGTCGTGTCGGTCGTGTCGTGTGCCACGCTGTAAGGAGTGTTTACGCGACGCGGGTCTTCATACAAACTGAATTCATTTTGTATGAAGACTGATTTTAATTAAACTTGGTATTCAAACACAATATAACAAGGCTTAAAAATTGGTTAAGTACTTACCTACATCTATCTATCTTCTTATCTATACATATTATAATAGAATCGTAGAAAAGTCAAAACTGTACATTTAATATTTTTTTAAAAGAATACGTGGTGCGTTTAGTATCGATACCGAAGCTAAATATAATATGGTTTTTGGAATTTTTGTCTGTTTGTACGCTGTTGTTACGTATGTCCGGGATGATCTCAAAAAGTACTGCATGAATATTACTAACAGGTCGGGTCAACATATAGGCTACATATGATCACCCTATCATCTACGAGGGAGGAGCCCTATTAGTATAAGTACTTAGTGGTACTTAATCAATTCTGACGACATTCGTTACCGTAGAATATCCCTTGATAAAGACTAATTCAAAAAATATAATTCTACCAGAAGTCATTATTCTACGCGGACGAAGTCGCGGGCAATAGCTAGTTTTCCAATAAGAGTTTAGAGTTGAAAAGAGATTAGAAAGAGAGAGACGACTTAAAGTTCCCTCATAACTTGTAGAATCTCATAAAACAGCTCGC